CTTGAAGTGTAAACTTGTTTAATAAACCATATCTTTCATTTTCGATTTTTAATTCACGTAGTCCGGGAACTTTCCGGACAAACTGTGTATTCTATTAAGTACTAGTGTACTTATTTATTATTTAAGTCAGTTTTTTTCACATATTTTTAATATATTGTATATAATCTTACTGAAGAATAGCACATGATGTTCTTCTTTGTTTTAAAGACTAGGGACTAGTCTTTAATAGAATATCTTCCAAATATTGTATGACTAAAAGTTTTTTTTTTAAAGAGTTTATATTTATTAGTCCTTTGCTGTTAATTTTATGCTATGTATATCTGTCATTAATGTCAAATTGTTTTTTTAGTTTAAAGATGATTTGAAACTGCATTTGAATCTTTTATTGCAATGTCATGCACAAACTGTGGGCATTCTATAATTATTTTTGTTTTCTGAGAGACATTGCTTCTTTTTCTCTTTCTCTTTTGCAGATTTTTCCTTAATATGAATTTTTACGCCCGTAAAAATTACAGTATTTTATGTTGTGATTATATATCTATAATTAGTCACATTTTCGTTTACTTGTATTTGTGTACAGCTTTAATTATTCTACTGTACTTAATTATATAAGTGGTACTGTACTTATTCTAAGTGGAAATATAAACTAGAAAGCAACTCCCAGATCTTTTGTTTGCACCTTTAACTCCCAAACCCACAAGCACACTAAACCTCACGCAATATAGGCTGCTTTCCTTTTAGGAGACACAGTCGACGCAAGTCGACACAAGAATTATTCTGTCTTTGTTTCTCAATGAATACTGAACAAAGACAGAATGACTTTTGTGTCGACTTGTGTCGACTGTGTCTCCTAAAAGGAAAGCAGCCATACAAAAGCAATATATGTATCGTGAAATTGATCCGGATCGATTTCCAATCGATATCGAAAACAGGTCAATTTCTTGGACAAAATCACATCGAATCGATGACTGCCATCGATGGTATATCGATAACTGCATTCGAGGTCGATTCAACGTCGATTTGATCAACCATTTCTCATTAGGATGTTGACTAGCAAGAAATTCACGTAGTGATTTCAATCAATCTAGTAATACAAGTATCACAGATTGATATCACAGATATTAACAATAAATATCACAGATATAAGTGATATATAAAATAAGCACCAATAAGCCACAACTCTTCACTGCTCAATACATCACAATACACGATATACGCAATAATCAGAAAACTACGAATGCAGCGCACAGGGTGGCGGAATACGCGAGTTTTTATTGTTTCGTATAATTTGCGCCCGCGTCGCGCTTGTCATTTTTTAGTTAGAAAGACAAAACCGAGCGCAGCGCTGAAGAAAAGTGACACGTCACGCTATGGAAGACGATATGTCTTGTAAGTAATAAGTACAATTATTATTTTTCTTATAGTAAATTGGATGACAAAGTTATTCTAAAATCTAAACAAAAGAAATATATGAGCAAATATCTCGTATATGAGCAAATATCTCGGATATTTTTGCTGTGTACATTGTGCGCTACATGTGTTAATATGAACGTTGTTCGTTTTCATAATTATTGCATATGCTGTATTGTGTAGTAAAAAGTAGTTTTCAGTAACTTTGTCATCGATTGTTGTCTTAGGAGAATGCATTCATATAAAGCAATTTGAAAGTTGTACATTATTATATCGTGAATGCTTTCTAGCTACACAAACGACACTGAAAATATCAGCATGAGTTAGATGCAACAAATCTAGGAACAAATGAATAGATCTTACCTACATAATTGGTGTTACTTTTTGATTTTGTTATCACTTCTTTTGTAAGGCAAGTTTTGTTTTAGAAATAAGAATTTAATTTAAGTAGTAAATATAATCCAAGTAAATTAACGTTATATTCTATTAATTAATAATATTTATTGTAAAGTACAACAGTTTCACAAATTATTGACAGGTTTATTTGCAAAAAGCTACAGTGGTTTAAAATACAATTATCGTGGACTTTTACATTGTGTACCTTGAATATACAAATACAGTAGACAATTGGGAAAAATTTTGTGACAGACCTGTTGAATCCGAAGATCCACCAATCGATTTACAAAAACGTCTACAGCCACTTAAACACATAATCAATATGTTTTTAATTATGAAAGTTAGCATGGCTTTAACATCGCATAGATATGTCCGATATCAAGGCAGAGTAGTGGTGGGAAAGACAACAAAAATACCCATTGGTAGATCAATCAATGGAAAATTTATCATTTTATGAGCTGTTACCTTTGAATTTAACAGCTAAAGAATAAAAATCCTGATATAAGTAAGTCGCTTAAAACTATATAAAAAATAATATAATATCCAAGGTTGGGTAGTGTCTAGTTAAAAAGATAAAAGTTAAGTTAAAAAGTTAAAAAGTTAAATAATTTTAACTTTATCTAGTTACATTTTTAGACTCTTATCTTTTAACTTTATTTAGTTATATTTTATCGGTAACT